CGAGCGCCACGGGTGGTGTGGGATGCTGGCCAGCATCCCTGCCACCCCCTGTAACTGCAGCGCCGGTGCCAGCCGCCGGGACAGCACCGGCCTCTGCTCCATGCGCAGGGGGAAACCCAGAGCTGGAGGCAAATGGGTGTTTGATTTCGTAACGCTTGTTCCCAACACGTGCTGTCATTGTAAGCTCCCCAGGAGCACATCCCACAGCACTGCCCTTCAGACTTTCCTTGCAAATCTATCTTTGGAAAAGCAGAAAAGACTCACTTAATTCCCACTGGAAAGACGATGCTGGGCTATTCTTCTTCCCTCCCCGCCCCCCCCTCATTAATATCTTCACTGTTTTTTTTCCAAAAATGGTTAAAATTTATCTCCCTGTGCCACACAACTTTTTTCCGCTCAGCTACTTTTGGTATTTTGGGTTGTTTAGTGGCACCATTCTCGAGATTGAATCCATCTGTTTGCTCTCCGCCAAGGGTGCTCTGGGCTTTCAGCAGAATGTCAAGTGTGCCATGGGAAAAGAGCACGAGCATCGGTTAGGCTGAAACGAGGATCAGGATTTCTTTTCATTCCCATTCCATGTGATGCCTGGTTTAAACCACATAGTAGAAAAATAAAAATAAAGCAGTGAAATGGATTTGAAAAAACAGTGACCACTACTAAAAAAAACCCCTAACTACAGCCCCTGCCAAACATACAAATCGCAGGAATTATATTTTTCCAGTCATTTTCAAGGAATAATTTCTAATAGAGATGATGTTTTCATTGGCTGGGGTTCTCCTTTTTTTTCTTAACACATAAAATAAAAATGACATAATCTTGTGGGTGAAATTATTGTGCCTGGAAGCGAAGCGCTAATAGCACTGGCTGGAACCCAGGAAAGTGCCCAGGCATCACAGGAATAAATCGCCAGGCTGTTTCTCACAGGTCCCGGCTTCCCCTGTGCCTGCAACTGAACGCCAGGCTTGTCTCTTCTGACCCAGCCGTAATTCGTATCTGCTCGATGTCCTTTTGCGACTGCCACTGAGCCGAAACCCCTGCTCCTGCCGGAGCGGTGCGGTGGCTGGGGAAGCGTCGCTGTCCCAGCACTGGGGACAGCACGGACAGGGCTGAGCGGGACCTGCTGCCGCGCTGCTGGCTGGGGTGCGGTGGACGTCCAAGGTAGTCCCCCGGCTAAGCTGTAGCATCCCCATGGATGAAAGATTAGAAATGTAACTCTGTTATTACTGGAAACTGCAAAAATACAACAAAATAGAGGGTTGTCGCTATCCATTCTCCGCAGACCCTGGATTATATCAGTCTGAAACAGTAAAAGTACCGATGTTAAAAGTGGATTGAGTTAGTGTCTCACAAACAAGTAAAATCTGTGATTATCTGCCCTCCAGGAACTGAGATATTTCTAAGAATACTAATCCTGCCCTGGCACTTGTTCAAGACACTGGTCGTGTTGAAGACAACCAGCCTAGCTGCTCATCAAGCCAGGCAACTCAACTCCAAACATGGATTGAGCTCTTTGGATTTAATCTCACATACTATTAACAAAAAATCGAGTATTTTCTATCGCCTGTCTTTTGGGGAAAAAAAAAAAAATCAAAGTGGCAAATGTAGCAGAAGACAGCCTAAAAGGCGTACTTCAAATCTTCAATATCAGACTCCTAAGGAAGAAAAACACCAGCTAGACCCAGGTGAAAATTTCACCTAGACTTGGAGGCCTTTGGATACCCTTTGGATCCCCTTTGGATCCCTGGGCCTTGGTTTAATACGCATGTAAATCCTCAAATTCCTCCGGCTTCTGCTCTCAGCCCAGCTGAATCCCAGCTTGACACTCCCACTATTTCAAGGGAGAGCTACAAAAGGTTGTGTGGATTTAAATAAGTTTAGAGCGAGCCCGATCCTCGCCCCAGCCTGAAACCTTGGCGGGGCTCCGAGCCCAGCATGTGCCAGCGTCCCTCCGCTCCTCGTCCCAGCGAGGCCACGGAGCCACCGCGCTCAAAACCCCAGAGGAAAACTTTGTGTTGTGCCTTCGGGCTGCTCCGAAACCCTGGTAACAAAACCTCATTAGGAAAACAAAGCTCTGGAGGGTTTCAAGGAGGTCCTTTTTAGCCTCTCGTTTCTTTTTGTCTTGTTTTTAACATCTAATGATGTCACTGTTGAATTTACAGATTTTTTTTTTTTTTTAAAGAAAAATCCTGAAGAATTTGAGCTCTGAGAGAAACTTCAAAGGCTCCTGTGCATAAACATCCATCTGTTCCCTTGCATGTTCATCTGAGGTACTGGAACTGAAACCCTTCTGGGGGAGTTTGTTTTGCTGTCCCTAGATGTGCTGACACGATGGGCAATTAATCTAGGCAGGATGTTCAGTGAGGACTGGTGGGCCTGTGTCATTCAAACGTGCTTTTTAAAAGAACAGGAAATGTACTTTTTTGCAAAGAACCTCTGTGATTTCCATACAACGCCGTTGCATTTTGAATTGAGTAGATTTTGGTTAAAAAATGATGAAAGCTCTATGAAATTAGTACCTTGCACAGGATTGCTCAGCAGACGGCTGATTCCAGCAGGAAATTATTTCAACTTGTTGGTTCGTCTTTCAAATTGGATTTAGAAGACAAGCAGCTGAAGCCACTTGAAAATGGATTTAGGGGCCACTTGAACTTTCTATCATGGATGAACCCAATTTTGTTCTACATGACAGCAAACCCTCTGTGGTATTCTACCAGCAACGGAGGCTGCTGCGCTTCTAATCCTGAACACAAAGAAATGGAATGACCTTAAATAGCTGAGAGGGGAAAATTAATGCAGCCAGGGCGAGAAGAATCTTCTTAGAACTGACCTTTCCCCTTTCTTTACAGGAATTTTGTTATTTACTTTGCACTAGCAGCAGAGAGTTACTTGCCTCAGAGAGTTCACAAAAACATTGGAAAACAGCCATGAAAATTTGGCTTCCCAGGTATAAAATCTACTCCCTTGCCCTTACTAACACTGATAATCATAATAAATGATCTCTGACTTGCCATTAAAATTTAAAATAAATGAACTTGCTCTCAGCAGCAAGAGAGTAGACTACTACTGCAAGCAGAGAGCCAGCTGGGGTGGCTTTAACCCCCTGGTTTTCCCAGGGGGGTGAGCCAGGCAGAGCCCGAGCTGCAGCCGGCCAGCCCGGCAGCCTGGCTGCGGCGCGGACGAAGGCGTTACTTACTTGGGACCCTGTTAATGGCTCGTAGCGGCCGAAGTACCCGGACAGTGCGGATGGCAGACAAGCTCACGTTGTGTCCGTCCAGCGAATACTCCATCATGCTGCGGGGGAAAGAAGAAAGGCATCAGGACGTGGGATGCTCAGTCTCTGGGCATGAGGGTGCTGGAGCTGCCCGGGGTTGGGGCTGTCGCTGTCTGCGCGCTCTGGAAGCCATAGCCCAGGCTTGCAAAAACACCCACTCTGTGTTTGCAGCTCATGATGTGCATCATGCTGTCAATGGGGGATATAAGGGATATTTCAGCCTCTAAGAGACTGAAAATACCCACACGAGCAGCAATGGCGCAGAGGCCGGCAGGCAGATGTGCTCTGGGCTAATGGGCTGCCGGCACAGGTAACACATCGGAAAGCAGGACTTGGCACGACAAGGAGCTGCAAAGTTGGGGCCACAGAAATCGGGGCAGAGGGGGAGCTCCCAGCTATCTGCTCAGCTCCCGCAGCCGTGCCGCTCTCCCTTTCCATTAGCTTATTGTGCTCTGGCCGGCGGCGCATCTGCAGCCTTCCCGGGGAGATTACTGCACAACTCCATGCAGCTCAGTCAATAAGATGTTTCTGATATTATACCCCCTACTAGCACCCCAGTGTATTTTCACGCCAGCTTATCTCTCCCCCTATGACAAAAATGTGAATAACCAAGCCGACAAATGATGTTAAAGTAGTTTGGTTGCCATTTTATTATTAAGAATAGGGAACATTATCTTTGTCATGCTCCGTCTCCATTTCACATAAACATTTCTCTCCCAGGCTGGGAAGGACGTTAAGTTAAGTCAGTTTTCTTGCTCTTTTATAGCAATGAGTGGTAAATGTGCATAGTGTTGCTTTTTTAATGGGGTTATGGCTAGTTAGCATGGCTGTAATTACAATTTATGAGTTTGACTACAGCGAAGCACTTGTAAATATGTCACAAATCTCTCACCACGTCTGTTCAAATAACATAACAGCATCAAAAGCAACCCTGCGAGTAAGCTGTTGGATCCCATGGAGAAAGAGCTTTTGTTTTGGTTTTTTAAAAATAAACAAACAGATATGGAAGGAGGAAGGCAAATACGAGCTGAACTGCTGCAACCAGGCACTTCAGAAGCTTCAGTGGAAAGAGAGATTTTCAATTGAAGCATCCTGCAGCCAGGATGGACCAAAATTGTTATGTGCCATCGAGAAGCAACAGCCAAATGGACTGAAGCAACAGCTGAATGGATTTCAGGCAACAGCAGAGGGAGGTTTGGTTTCAGGCCAGCCTTGCTCAGGCGCATCATTGCCCGTGTGCCCTGCTCTGCCGGAGCCTTGCACTTTGTATTTGATGCCTTGCCCTGCTCTGCAAAGCTTAATTGGGAATATCTAGATGTTCTGATGTTTGCTTCTCTTTTGTCTTTGTCCTGAAGCTGTTTGGTGTAACCCTGCGATATCACTGGCATTGCACTGAGGTGACTTTGGCCCGTTAGCCTTAATTTGCCGTGCAGAGGCCCTGGTGATTTTGAGCCATTTTTAGTGATAACCTTCCAGAGATTTTTTTTTTTCTGAAGTAGTTAGTAAGTCTTTATAAATCAAAACCACCTTAACGCTTGTACGTAGGAACTGAGCTGAACATGATGAATAGCTTTAAAACTCAGCACGGCATGAAAACAGGTTTTAAATCTAATGTGTTCATTAAGCAGCTGGAGCGGAGCAGAGGGAAGCAGCCTGGAGCCGCACGAAGGACCACACAGTGGGAAAGCCATCGGAAATCCCTGTTCACACCTGCGTCGAGGGGCCTGGAGCCAGCACCAGGTGTCTGCTCTAAACAGACCTTGCAGGAATAGACAAAGCATTGTTTAACGTCCCTGAAGTGAATAGTGCTGAAGCCTGAATCTGTTTGCTGGCGTGGTCCCAATACAGCACACTCGCAATTTATCGGGTGGCTGAGTAAGTGGATTTTAGTGTAACTGATACAGTTTTTGAACTACTAATAGCATGTAAAAGGAGTATGAAATGCTCCAGTGGGAGCTGGTTTTGTGCTCCAGAGAGCACATGCAACTATTACTGTGTTAAAGGGCCAACTCCTGGGGCCTCACTTTTACTTGGCCCTTGGAGTTTCAATGGGGCTGATAAAAGATGAATAATCCAGGATTTGGCCTAGGAAACAGACTTTCTGACCCTGATACTTTGGACTTCCGTGGTACTCCATGTAGGATTTGAAAGTAAGTCTCAGGGGGATCTACAATGCCCACCGAAGCCAATCTGAAACACTTGATGGATTCCAGACTGCATGTTCTACAAGCAGTGAAAACATCTGAAGCCTTCATGAAAAAGTCAAAGGTTTCTTTGTGAAGGCCAAACTTGGGGTCCTGTTCTCATATCACACTTGTAAACCAAGAATACCTTGGAAATGCCTGACAGAAACCTGCTGGAGCTGGAAATTTTGGGTATGCAGGGACTGGAGGTTTGGGTGGATTGGCACTTGGCAGCGATTCCCTACAGCCTCTGGGTGCTGAAAAAAAGGAGGCACAAGCCCTTGCAATGTCTTCTACCATGAACAGTTTCCAGCCCTTCAGCTGTCAAGTTAAAGATGTCCAAAGCATATCATATGAGCCTGCAACATCTCTAGGGACTGGATGCACACGAAACCTCTCTGGTTTCAGCTCTTGTGGACAACATTTTTGATGCTCGGAAAATGCTTTCAACTTGGCTGCTGGTCAGACTGAAAGGTTGTAAGCTCCATTCGGTCTGAAATTTTCCAGGGTACATTTCTCAGGCGAGCAAAACATGAAAGGGCTTTCAGTGCTGGAACAAACTTCAGACGCAATCTGTTGCTAGAGGCAGAAGATATGTTTATTTTGTAGTTTCCCTGCTTACCCTCCGCTCTCTTTGGTATACTTGCTCGTAAGCCCTATCAGCTTGTTTGTGGAGACCAAATGGGACAAACAAAGCAGGGAGCACTGCCGATCACTTGTTTCCCTTCTTATCAGAAAAAGCCTCGTAACTTCATCACATCCATCCGCTTGCTGGAAAAAGCAACTCTTGTTATTCCAATAGCATGCTCCCTGCTAAAACCACCTCCAGTTTTAGGAGCAGACACTGGATGGAACAGTGGTGGTGGGAGAGGTGAAGAACCCCAGCGCATCGCACAGCTTCTCCTTGCCCTCCAGCAGCATTACCAGCCAGGCCAGCTCCCAGACCAGCCCCTCTTCTGAGAGATGAGAAATAATGTCACAGGTATGGCTCGAATACACCAAAATCATCTGGAGATGGCCCAGGATCAGCCAGAGAAGGGGCCGTTCCTCTTCTCATCTTCAGCCTGAGTAACGCCAGACTGGCAGCAGGGCTTCCCGTTGGGGTCTCCTGGTGCTTCTGCTGTTTTCATTCTTCTCAAACATATGCCAGCCACAGAGGGTGGGGAAACGCCCTGGAAAACCACCAAATTGACTCACCAGCCATCTTCCCCCGCGTCCCAGGTTCTACATGAGCAAAGATCCTGGTGCCAAACCTGACTCTGAGGTATGAGCAGAGGGCTCAGCCTTTCTGCCTGCATGTGCTATTTTATTCTCCCGCTTTGCTGGGATGATCTGTTTGATGACGTGGGGAACCTCTGCTCGCCCATCAGGAGTGCTCACCCTGCAGCTTCAGCGTGGGGAAACACTGTCGACGCGTCGGTTATGGGTGGCAGATTTCTGATCCTGAGTTCCCCCTGCAACCACAGCCTTGCTCTTCCCCTACTCTTCTGGCTTAAATGCTGCACCAGCTTTGGAAAGAAAAAATAATTAACTGCTTCTTTTGTTGTCCCTGCTGTTCTTTCATAGGTTGTAACTGCACATGGGTTCAAAGGAAGCTCTGCGCAGGAGAGCTCATGTTTTATTCAAATCAGTAAGGTCATTCTTAATTGTATTCCAGACAAATAACATGGAGCAAAACAAAACTTCATTAGTTAAGTGAAGACTGTACATCACTAATGTAAGGGTAAAAATGCCCCAACATATTACAGGAATGTTCTAATTAACCCCAGGCTGGCCATTATAAACGCAGGAATTCAGAAATAAGGCAGAGCTCTGTAATTAAAGCAGTCTATCCCTTTCTAGGGTATACTAAGCAGGTAAGAGAGCCTGGGGTTTCTAAAATCCATTTATTTATAGAAAAAAGTTTTAGACTTTCCAAGCTTTTAAGCCTACTCAGTTTTTCCCTATGGGTGTGAGGGAACTGGTGTCAAAAGCACCCAGATCTTCCTTATATCTGTTTATTAACACATCCTGCACAAATAAGCAGCTGTGGGAGATGGTATTAAAATGTAAAGCAAGAGAAGTTTACAGGAAGCATTTGCATGCACTTGTAATTTGGGTCAACTTCTGGCCACTTTCTTCCACTGGGATTTCAACCTTCTGAACCAGATTTTTGGGCTAGATCCTCCTTGTTTGGCCAATTTCTGCTTCTCTGCCTCACTCTAATGGTGTCACATAGCAGGAGCGGGGCTGAGCTGCTGTGTGCTTTTTCCACCGGTTCTGGAGACGGCAGTCTTAACCGTGAGCACTGGGACATACTGACCATCGCAAGGACTAGATCAGCGTGCACAGCGATTTGACAGAGATGACACTAGCAAAAGGACTGCTACTGCAAACCTGATGGCTTTTGCCCTGACATTCATACCCCACCCCATAATCCGGCATGGTTGCCAGAGGTGAAACCAAACGAGACTTATGAGACTTTGCCTTGGCTTGAGCCTGGCAGCTTTCACAAGACGTTATGAAAACCAGCCAGGACAACCTACAGATTTGGATCTCTGGGGTTTTCTAGGTTTCACCACGAAGAGCAAATTTATGAGGTTTTGTTACTGACCCCGCCATCACGATGAAGAAGTCCAGGCGATTCCACGTATCTCCAAGGTAACACTTCTGCCCGAAGATCCCCAGAGCCACCATCTTGATGACCATCTCCACCGCAAAGAAAGCGAAAATGAAGTCGTCAAATGCCTGGAGACCGGTAAAAGATTATTACAGTCAGTTCTGCTGTGCTTTCTTATCAGGGAAAGGGAAAGCAGAGACATGAGCCCTCCCACCGCAGAGGCACTCTGTATACCCTGGCAGACACTGCGAGGCAAAGCGCTGGTACCAAAGTGCCACCTACTGAACTCAAAAATAAAACGTGCAATACCTAATGGGTGATGGCAACCCTGAGCACAGCTCCTGGGTCAGCCCACTGCCTGGGAAGCATTAGCAGCTTCTATTAATCTACTGACAAAGATACAAGGACATCACTGTTGTACAGGCTGGATATGTTTCTTGGCATTTAAAGCCTATGCATTCAACAGCAGCTTGTGGTTGGGTCCAGGAGGTCTCAGCAACTTGCAGTGAAAACTGCGTTTCCAGACTGGGCAACTCATACCTCCTAGAAAGAATTTGTCCCATCTAACACAGGGCGATGTGCTTCACCTCTGATGCCTTCATGGACTCCTGAAGGGACCAAGTTCCTACTCACAGACCCAGACACAGCTGGCAGCAAACGTGCACATGAAGCAGAGGCTGAAGCAATAACTATAAGGGCAGTTCTGCTGCACATGAGGAATGACTGGAGTCCTCATGGTGCAGAGGCTCAGGGCATCCTGCTGGCAAGCCTGTGTGCCCAAGCGCAGGAGCCTCTTGATGAAGGTAAAAATTTTGGGTTTTAGATTACTGTGAAAACAAGAAGAGAAAATAAAGATTCACAAATTAATCCAGTGCTGCCCTGTAGAACATGCCTCAGCCTTTACCTAAAGAATGACTTCTGTAGGGTAGTGGGGACGTGGACAGCTGTGATTTCTCCAGCCTTCCTGGAGACTGCATGCATGTGCACGAAATGTGGATGTATTTGAAGACACCATGAAACTCTGTGGTAAATACTCTTCTACATGTTGCCTGTAAACTTGAACATCAGGAGATACAGACTGCTTTTAAATCATGTGCAGAGGCTTTGTTGTTTTGAATAACAGACTTCATAAAGCACTGGAACTTCTCAATCTACAGACATGACTGCTGCTTTCCAAAACCCTCTCTTAATGACCATACTGGTTGGTATTGTGTCTCTAGCACTTTCAATTTGAGGTCTGAGTGGATTAACGGTAAAATTAACAGCATCCACATGGCAGCCAAGTTCCCACTGCGCATCCATGTACCTCCGCATGGCTGCATGTGAGCACCATTTTCTCTGGCTGTTGGCTTTATCAACCAATTTTTCCCTTGATAAACTACACTGAAGTTTTGCTCCATTATTTCAGTTCATTTAATAACTGGCATCTGAATGCCTCTGTAAAGGAGTTCAGGCTTTTCTACCTCATGTTCTGGCTTCCATTCCCTCCTGCAAGCTATGACAGGGTGAGGGATAACGATGGCTTTACTTGCAGCCCTTTTCTGCCTGCAAACCCTTCAGGATAACACTTTGGGTTTTGCAAATATACGTTGTAATCATTAAGCTGGTATTAGAAACCAAATTCAGTGCCTGGGCTCCTCGCAGATGTATGAGCGTCTATTCTGAGGGGAACAGACCATGCAAACCATGTGTTTGCAACCTGATTAAATTATGAAAAAAAAGGAAGCAAATAAGGAGCATTCAATAATGTCACCTCCTCATCCAGGCAGGATTCCCTTTGTCTGCCTGGACATTTTGGCAGGACGGGCATCCTCCAAAGTCCCACGTGGGTGAATACATGCAGAAAAATGGCAGGCATGTGGAGAGTAACCTTTCAGGAGAGATCAGACACTTTCTGATGGGCTCTCTGGGGCAGCTTAGCCCACAGCTGCCTGCAGTGTGACATTTTCTGGTGCTATCTCTGGATGCCACTTCACACCAACCCTGAGCCTGACCCTCTCAGACAATCCCTACACTGGATGCCTCTGGTGGCAACAGTTTCTCCAAAACTGATCTCATTCCATAACAAACCTCTAGTGGCTTCTCAATTCACCCGGTTTACTTGGCTCTACATTTAACAGATCCTCTTTTAGGGTTGAAAGACGGTTTGATGATAAACTCTGCTATTCCTAGCATCTGCAGGCAGTTTTGGACCAATCTTTGAAAGAGGCAGGAGAGGCTGGTTGGAAGGATCCCACCGGCCTTCCTGTATGGCTGAAACGCCCAAAAGGAAGTAAAGCAGCAGATCTGTGCGGGATTCAAATGAACCAAGCCCGTTACACTACCACATGTCGGTAGTCCCTGCCTAGGTTGATGTAATGCATTAGAAACAACAGAAGTTGGTTCCACGCCTGAGAACTGAGTTGCTGCAGGAAGCCCAGCGCCAAGGTGCAGCCCACACACCAGATGCTGCCGGGATGTGCTTCCAAAACGAATCCTGCGGGCATATGGCAATGAGGGGATTGCCAGGACACAGCAAGGGATGAAGTGATAAGCTTGATGCCCCACTAAGCTTGGGGTGGCCAACAAACAAGGGTCTGTGAGCTTTGCATGCGTATGCATTTCCCAAAGGTCAGTTATCCTGGCACTTGGCAATGCCACACTTCATTGGAGGGCTCCGCTGCAGAGGAGAGCAGGCGCGGGCCTGTTCCATGCTTTTTTGTTCATGCAGAAGGGAATGAAATGGCAAAGTCATCGGTGCCATACTGCACAGACCAGACTGCAGCGATCCAAGACATGCCGGCAGTGACCTGGCTGGGATGGAACTGACTGACTGAGAGCCAGAGGTTCCCTGCGGCATTCACCATCTTGTAATTAAAAAGTGTTCAACACCTCCAGTGGGAGCTGGATGCTGAGTTTTGAGCCCCCCTGCCCTTATTAATTGTGTAGAGAAAGGATGTTGCTGGGGTAAGTCCAAATCAGTCAGCCTTAGGGTCTCACCTAGGGCCATGGCAGGAGGTCTCCTTGGAGGACAGACTTAGCACCCCGAAGGGTGGCTTATTGGAAAAACCATCCCTATGGGAAGGGCTTTCATGGCTGGATCCTGGGGAAAAGGGACAAGATGGGGGTTCCCAGCTCCCAGAACGGCCACCCCCCTGCAACCCGCACGTCCCAGGCAAGCGGGGCAGCATGGGATCCTTACCTCCAGGATGGTGCACCGCTCCGACTGGCACTCCACGTCCTCGCAGGGCTGGAACATGCCCAGGGTGACACAGTTCAGGAGGATGACCAGCATGCTGACATGCTCAAACCAGGTGAGAGGAGGGCGTTAAGGAGAGCACACGCTTCCGTGGCCATCAAGAGGGGGGAAGCTGAAGCACCACGCTATTTACGCGTCAAAAAGCCTTCACTCCTCATGCAAGCACAAAAGAAAACACCGCCAAACATCCCAGATTTGCTAAGGTTTGAAGTTTTTGGCAACTAAGGAGAGGGCCTTGGAAAGGGTAGTCCTGTTGAGATGAAGGGACAAAGGATGCCTTTAATTTCCTACACAGAAGCAAAGTCAGAGAAGCACAACCAGGCTACGCTTTCCATCTCAAGTCCTCCACACCGCCATCCTCTTCTGTACTTCATGCATGCCCAGGGACAGCTGAGAACACAGCCGCCTGTCCTCCTCCCACAGCAACTTCCATTTCCAGATCTCAAAGGGTTTTACCAGTGAATCACCCCACATGTCCGCTAGCATTCTCTTTCACTACCAAGCTAAAGAAGGCAAGACAAAGAAAGATGAATTAATTCAGGCACCACCAGAAACCTGTCTTGTGCCCAGTTCCTTGCTCCAACCAGTGAGGTTGCTCTCCTTGTTTCCACCTCGAGTCATGGGCATGGGTGCAGAATGCAGGCTGTCTCCTTCCTACCCAGTTTCCAAGTCTCAAGGAGCTATAGAGTCCATTTCGAGCTCTACATCATGACTGAGGATGAAGGTAAAACAAAGCCAAGGTGGTGGCACAAGCTGCTAGGGCCAAGGATGGCAGCATGTTGGGGTACAGGATGTAAACCAGGACCCAGGGTGCACAGCACAGGCTTTGAAAGGGAAGGAAAGGGCTCAAGGTTGGATGTCTCCAGTCACCAAAAAAAAGACCATATTCTCTTACAGGACCCACCAGTGCTCAACTGCACTAACATGATTAGTTTCAAAGCAGTAAGTGGTGATTTGCATGAGAGCAAAATAGGCCCAGAGCTTATGATTACTGCTGCTGGTATGACTATTAAAAATAATAAAAAAAGATTTGGGGGAACTAAACAGGAGTTTCACAAATTAAGCATGAATGAGAGAACTGTTCTTAGGAAAAATAATTGGAAACATCTGTGTATGAATAAACCTTTATGCTTTCAAACACACAAGCGTATGTGAGCAAGGGATCACGGAGAAAGAAGCACATAGACATTGTCTTATTTCTGATAACAACAATTCTCCTGCTCTGGAAACCCAAACAAAAATACCTACCATATTTATCCCTGCTGTTTTTAGAAGTATTTTATCATCTGGCATTTTAGCAGTTCAGTGTAAGATTTATCGCAGCCTAAGATTAGGCAAGTGCAGGGCTGCAGTCTCAAACTACTTTTGCACACACGCTCTCACTTATCCAGATCAAAATAAAAAGAGAAATCAGTGGGGTCAGGTCCTGCAGCTTCCCTGAAATGTGAACCAAAACCACTTCTTGTTTTAGAGAGGGCTTTAATTTGAGAATTCAGAGCTAGGAACACCTTGGAGCCCATGCTGGAGACCAAACATGTCAGACTTGGAAACCCACTTGTCTAAAATGGAAATGCATGAAATCAAATAAACAAATGAAATAAAAACCCAGGTCACCCCGTCAGCGATGCAGAAGGAGCTGGAGCAGGCGAAGCTCCTGGCCACTGCCCCAGAAGACTTGTGCATCGCTGAAATACCAACGTCAGTTTATTTTAATTTCTCCCTCCCTTCAGTGACTTCTTTCTGATTTTTAACATCTTTAGGGGCTCTTTGGATCCCCTTCCCTTTCGCCTAATTAGAAGCAGAGTGGTAATCCTGCTCCATAGAGAAAACAGCCCGCATCAGACCCAAACAAAGCCCAACCCGAGGCCACATCCTACTCACAATATTTGCATTGCTTGATGGGATTCATGTAAACACGGCTCCTGCGCTATTCCCAGGGTGCCTGCAGTTGCATTCTTTTCATTTATTATACTTGGAGATTTTTTTTTTCCCCCTTTAAAGTAAAAAAACAAAAGCATGTGGATTTTGAACTGTAAAAAAAAAAAATGTAACTGTGCTGATGAATTAGGCCTCCTGCTTCCCCCGGAGGAGGGGAGCACACTGGGCCTGTACCTGGTTGCTCCAACCTTGCTCCTGCATCCTGCCCTGGGACAATGACCCTGGGCTCCTGCCGGCTCCATCCCCTGCTGCTCCAGCAATGGGGAAGTGTGCAGCCCAGGCTTTTCCCTGCCACGGGAGTGATAAGGCTTTTGAATCCACCAGCCACCAAGGGCTCCTGCCATTCAGTTTTACTGCTGGAAACACTCATGCCATCTTGAGCAACAGCTTCAGTTGCATTACTGTTCTCCATCCTGCTCTCCATTGCCTAAGCCCTTGTTTCTAGCAGAACTGATCAAGAATTAGATTTTGTTTTCCATTAGAAAACACTGATTTCTCAAAAGTGATCATCGGCGTGGACCAGTTTTGATGGCAACATTCAATTAAGACAGACTTTTTTGCATAAAACATGGAAAAGTCTGTCCCCAGAAAGGCAGAGGCACAGCCCTTTGCTGAAGGGAGTCCTCAGGAGTACGGGAAACCCTGATGGATGCTGGGGTCTCCCACAGCCCAGGCTTTCTGGCTTCTGCGTCGGTGCCTTTTGCTGCTCAGATCATTCTTATCATGATACAAAATCACAAACATTTCAAAAAGAAAATTTTCTGAGCAGAAAACCTTCCTGCCCTCTGGATCTGGCATCTGCCCTTCATTTTTTATTTCAGTGGAGCGGCTGAAGCCTAAGGCTGAAGATGTTTGCGGGGTAAAGCTCCTGTTCTCCTGAGCTACCCCGGACCTTTGTTCAGGCACTCTGCGCATCAGATCTCTAAAAAATTTCTTTCTGTCTTTCTTTCTTTCTTTCT